GCGGCATCATCTCCCGGAGCGGAAAGGTTCCGACGTGGACAAGGGGTTTAAATAATTCACATTGTGGTAAACTTCATTCAAAAACGGGGGGAGGAGGACGAGCGGGTACAACGGGGATACCATGTGCAAAACTGTAAACCAGGTGGAGGGTTGTAGCCGTCGTTTTCCCGGGAAAACCAAACCGGGATGGGCTCCGGGTTCCTCCACCGCGGCACGAAGGCACCGGCTGTGAGTTACGCGGGGGAGTAACTGGATCCCGCCGGAGCCGTCCCTCAGGAGGAATCGCGGTCCATGCTGCAGCCCAGCGCCTCGATGTCGTTGCTGATGTGCGAGATCATCCGATCCCACTCGTCCTCCTCCGACGGGACGGATTGCTCGTCCGAGCTGCCGGCGGCGCCGTTGCCGTTGGTGGTGGAGGTGGAGGTGGTGCTCAGCGTCCGCCTGTACCTCCCGAAGCTGTCGGTGATGATGCCGCGGCCGTCCTTCACGCCGATGGTCTCCAGGAAGTTCTCGAAGTGCTGGCTGTCCTTTTCCGGGATGAAGGGGCGAAGACCTGGAGCAGGGAAGAGAAACACGAGCCGGGGGAGAAGCCGTTAGCATCATCCAGCGTTTTCTCCAGTGCCGGGAGGGATTTCCATGTGAATTTTGCTTTGCTGACACATTCCCTGGAGCGCGGACGGTGAGACTGGCTGCAAGGTCACATCCCAGCTCCCTAAAACTGGGCTTGGAGGATCCAAGGGGACAGGGGCCGCTGGGATGTTCCGCTCGTGGCCACATCTCCCACTTACGCCCCCGAGAGCGGCAGCTGCTGCCCACTGAGGAGAAAATCCTGCTAAAGCTGACTGTGATTGGACATTGGGAAGAAATCCTTCCCGGAGAGGGTGGGAGCCCTGGGACAGTTCCCAGAGAAGCTGTGGATGCCCCATCCCTGGGAGTGTCCAAGGCCAGGCTGGATGAGGCTTGGAGCAACCTGGGCTATGGAAGGTGTCCCTGCCCATGGCAGGGGGGTTGGAACTGGATGGGCTTTAAGGTGCCTTCCAACCCAAACCATTCCTGGATTCCATGACCCCAAGGGACAACCGGAGCATCCGAGATGGACCCAGCTGCCCTCAGGAAACGGGTGTCCCCAAGGAGAGATGGATTGAGATGTGGCTCCGTGCTGGCTGACACCCCAAGGAATCACTGCGCACACCCCTGTGCCCCCTCGCATCCCACTGCGGGCTCCGGAGCAGAGCGACGCCGCTCCCGCCCTCCGGTCGGTCATCCACGATGAATTCCCGGGCAGGTGACACTCACCCAAGAGCAGGAACTTCCTGCTGTCCCCGTAGAGCTGCTTCAAGTTGATGCAGAATTCGTGGATGGAAGCGCCGTTGCGGTACTCGTGCAGGAGCATGGCGAACTGCTGGATCTCTTGGGAAGAGAGTTTCGTTCGGAGCTGCGGAAGGGAAGCGCACCGTGAACCTCGGGATCAGATGCGGGGAATAAGCTCTTCCCGCAGAGGGTGGGAGCACTGGGACAGGTTCCCAGAGAAGCTCCCCACCCTTGGGAGTGTCCAAGGCCAGGCTGGATGAGTCTTGGAGCAACCTGGGCTATGGAAGGTGTCCCTGCCAGTGGCACCGGGTGGGTTTTGAGGAGGTCCCTTCCCACCCAACCCATTCCATGATGATTCCAAAGGGAAGAAAAGCCTCCCCTCACCTCCTCTTGCATCCCACGGGCATCCTACCGTCATCATGTAGTCCTGGAGCAGCTCTGTGGCCGTGGTGCTCAGCTCGCTCTCGCTGACCGTCTTGACGTGCGGGGACTGTTGCGTGGAGAAGGAAGAGGGGGAGTTGTCCCCTGCATCCAAGGTTTCTGGAAAGGAACTGCAAGGCAAAAGACAGGGTGAGGCTTCCGGAGCTCCTCCAGCTCCTCGCTGCCGGTGGTCGCGGCACGGGACGCGCGCTCTCTCCGCCATGAGGCTCGCGGCTTTTCCCAATCCGGGACAGTGGGGGGGAAAAGTCTCAAACCACCTTATTTTGGCATGAAATGGGCCATTTTCAAATAGCATCAGTCAAATCTTGGGCTTTCCAACTGGGGGGGGGTTTCTCCAGCG